TAATGAAGCTAAGACACTTGTTAAAAAACTTAATCGTCTTGAAACTGTTCTAATGTATATTATTTGGAATGACATTTTACAACAAATTAATGTTGTAAACAAATCGTTACAAACACCCAGTATTGAGATCTGTAAAGTCGTTGACCTCTATAACAGTCTTATATCATGTTTTAAAAAAATGAGAAGCGCCGAAGAATTTGATTTATTTGAAGAAAAAGCAAAAAAAAAGAGTTTCTGGTTTATCTGATTATTCTGAAATAGAATCTAGAAAACGTAAACAAAAAGTCTCGATAAAGGATGGCAATGCAATTGATGCTGTTGATCAAATGAGTGCTAGAGATAAATTCAGAACTCAAACGTTTTATGTAATAATTGATAAATTGATAGTTGAAATGGAAAAACCAAAAAAAGCTTATTTAAAATTAGACGAAAGATTTAATTTTTTAACTGACGAAAGTTTAAAAGATGAAGAAATAAAAATAAAGGTAAATAATTTAGTTGAAGCCCATAAAACCGATTTGGAATCTTCATTTGTTAATGAGTTTTTGATTTTTAAGAGCTTTCGAGAAACTGGAATGCCTGTGAATGAAATGCTAATTAAACAAATAAATACCAAAATGGTAACCAGTTTTCCAAATGTAAAACATTGCTTTTAGAATCTATTTATCAATTTTTGGGACTTCGTGCGAAGGTGAAAGATCATTTTAAATTTTAAAGAGGGTTAAGAACTGGCAGCGGTCAACTATTGGGCAAGATAAATTATCATCATGCAAGTATCGACTTTCAATTGAACACGAATTGCTCCAAGAAATCGATACTGAAAAAATTATAGAATCATTTGCAAACAAAAAATATCTTAAAAAAGTTTTGTAACTATAAATTTATATTAAGAAATATTATACATAATATTGTTATTTTTAATTTGTTACAATTATCTTTTGTTTTCTACTTAAATACGAGGAAGAAAATGAAAAATGATATAAAATAAGTTGTTTTTATGGTTTCTGGAAATTTAATTTTAAATAATATATTTTGAGTGAAATAAAATATATTTTTAGATGTGTTAAAATTGTTATCAGATAAAGTTATAATTATAAACGTTAATAGGTATTTGATTTTCATGTTGTAAATAATTTTTTTTTTTAAGGCTTAAAATACTGAGATTCAACACTACCTGACGCGACGGCAACGTTACTAGTGGTGTATTTTAGGGTAATCAGGGGTACTCCGTTTGAAGCTATTGGCGCGCTATTCAAAAGTCAGCTGCCGTTTGTTTACGCACGTCCCTACGATTTTTCAAACCCCTTAAGGCAGTAGTAGCACTGACTATATGATAAGGATCCACAACCAAATCAGTATTACCACTATTTGGCCATACAATTTAATCACCCGTGATGCGAATAAAGTCACACTGATTATCGACTGCGCGCCAACAATATGATCCTTCCTTTTGAATTATATAATACACTATACATATAGCCAGCTGCATTCCTTTATAAAATAGTAGGTTATCCTGCCGGGTGTTTCAGGACATTAGGAGTAGCAGTCGTAATACGCTAGCGGCTAGTATGTCCACAACCGTTGACCTGTGAGTTTGTGTGTACGTTTTATCGATTTTCCCGTGTTATAAGTAACTTTTTTTAAAAAGTGTTATATTGTTTGTTATAAATTTATAATATTATTTTTATAATGGAATCTAAACAGGATATTCATTCCCAAACGAAAAAAGTAATTTTTAGTGTTTACAATTACTTAAAAGTATTGGGTACTGACAAAAATAATCCTGAATTTGTTAATTTTTTCGGTAAAACGCGTTAAGTAACTGCTGAAGCATGTGGTGTAAGCGTTGCTAGTGTCAAACGAATTTGTGCTGAAGGAAAAAAAATAGGAGATGACGGACCCTCTACTTCATTCAAGTCACCAAGAAAAAGTTATAAACGAGTAAAAGTATAAAATATGCTACTAATCTAGATGATTTTGATAACGAAGTTGTTAGGAGAACCGTTCATAGTTTTTACGACAATCATGAATTTCCTACAAGTTCAAAAATATTAGCAGCAATGCGTGAAAAAAATGTACTTGAAGTTGCCCCCCCCCCCACTTTGTCCGAATGACTTCAAAATACCACCAAATAATTGCAAATAATTGCAAATCGAGTTTCATTAATTGCAAATCACCCAGTTTTGAGTAAACTCAAATTCAAAATTGGGGGGGGGGCAACTTCATGTGGCCACCCCACTTTGTCCGATTCGTTTCAAAATACACGTCAAAATATTTTCAAAATTGTATGGTGTATAGAAAATGCTAATTTAAACATTCAGTGATATTTTCATGTATCTACAGTTGTTCGTTTTTGAATTGCAACAAAATAAAGAAATCGCTACATGAGTAATCGAGTGAATATCCAATGTTGTAAAAATTTGAATTTCAAACGCTCATAAAAATTTAACTTGACTGTCCTGTAGAGATTTTTTTATTGATAAAGGTAGATAATCTTATAAGGAATCTTGTGTTTCATTTTAAAATCTTAGATTTAAAAAGAAAAGTTTTTACGAATTCTTAACTCAAAATAATTTGCTAATTTTCGTGATTTTTCCATATTTTGTCAATTTTTGAACTTTAAATGCTTATAAAAAAAAATTGTGACTAAGGATTTTTAATATTTTTCATCTGCCTTTGAAACAACATATTAGGAGCCGTCTATTAAATTTTCAAGCTTTCGCAACCAACAATTAAAATTTTATTGATATTTTTAGAAAAAAAACTAAAAAAAAATGGAAAATGAAAATGTCTCTAAACAGTTCAAAATAAATCAAAATATTTTGAAAATGTTATCGTGTATAGAAAATGCAATTATAAAAAACCAGTGAAAATTTCATGTATATACGTTCATTTGTTTTAGAGTTACACCAATAACCAAAATCGATTTTTTGGAAAACCAATTTTGCGTAAAAATTCCCGTTTTTCCTTAATTGTTATGTTCTTTTTCCCGGCGCTTGTGAAAACTACTGTGAAATTTATACTTTTGACCCCCCAAAGTACCAACTAGATTCACTTTCCTATCAGAAAAGCTACTGATGAAGAAAATCCAAGCACTTTTACTGTCCTAAAACGTGATGACAGACACAAAAAAAATAAAAAATATAAAAATATAAAAAAAAAAACACACATCATTGTAAAACCAATACATTCATCGCTCCGCTCAGAATCTAAAATAAAAACATACATCATTGTAAAACCAATACATTCATCGCTCCGCTCAGAATCTAAAATTATACCATTTGTTCAGAACATTTTCAAAAGGAAGACTTTTATAATCATGAACGGTAATATTAATTTTCATACATTTAAAAATAAATTAAACACAAATTCCGTATTTATTTGATTAAAATTAGGAAAATTCTAAACAAATGGGCAGTGCCCATCTTAACATCGTGCCAACCATCAGACATGAATAAATCTACTGGATATACTACTGCGTCACCTGAAAAATCATTAGTTGGTAAAGACATTCAAATGTTAAAAAATAAATGATTCATTACTTTATTACTTAATTTATTTTGAAATCAATTCAATACAATTTTATTTTACATTAGATCACAGTGAAAAAAACATAGGAATGAAAAGTATCTTAAATGAAACGATAATTGATAAAACTGAAAATCAATCTAAGAAGAAAGAACCTGGGTGGAGCTCTCAAAACCCAATTCCTAACGATATTGGTAGATAAAATTTATTAACTTTCCTTCAATATAAATAATTTTAACCATGATAATAGCTTATACGATATTTTACTTCACAGGTAAAGATTTTTTTTAGAATTTCAGTTAAAAGGAAATGTAATAAAAGAACATTTAAGCCACGATCGTTAAATTTTAACAAAGATTGTATGAAACCAGAAGATTTACTTGAATATAAGTTTCCTCTTAAATTATTTTTTTTTTTGTATTTTAGAAATGTACAGTTTGAGTATTTGGTATAAATTTAAAAATATTTGTAAATAAATAATGTAAATTAATGAATAACAAAACAATTAAATACATCATTAACTGTTTTTTGTAATCTACAATGACCAAATAAATCTTATAATAATTTTTATTTTAAATTAAAAATTAAACAATGGATCAATGTATTTTGTTAGGTATTTAATTTAATAAGTTTTAATGTTTGTTTACAGGTAACTTATTATCAGGTAGGTACTCAAAATAATTCAGAACTTAAAAAAAAATTACTAAATTAAAAACACAGTTACGAGTTTACCAAAAAATGATTCATGCTAAAAATAAACAAATACAAAATTTAAAAGCAAAAAATAGTGACAAAACTAAGATTATTGTAGAAAAGACAAATAATAATTTTTTGTTAAAAACACAGATGAGACTAATGAGTTTAAAAAAAAAATTATGGCGTTTTAAAGAGGATGAAAAAAGTTTGCTTTGAGTTTATATTATAACTCTCCTAAAGGATATACATTCATGAGAAAGTTTCTGTGTTTACCTACAGTAAGATCACTTAGGCGATGGCTCCAAAATTTAAATGTAGCTTGTGGCATAAATGATAATATTTTAGAAGTGCTTAAATGTAAATTATCATCTTCACCACTATCAGATAGAGCTGTGTCAATAGTTTTTGATGAAATGTCAATAAAAAAATTTATATCTTACAATTCCCAAAATGACATGTTTTCGGGTTATGAAGATTTTGGAGATTTGATTGATTAAAAAAATATTTTACACTGTAATCAAGCTTTAGTCATAATGCTAAAAGGTATAAAACATTCATGGAAACAAGTAATTGGTTACTTTTTTTCAAGTGGACCTATATCAGGAGTAAAACTTAAAACTATTATATAAAGTACTATTCAAAAAATATCTTCAATAAATCTTATTCCAAAAGTCATTATTTGCGACCAAGGAACAAATATCCAACAATTAAGAAAACTATTCGGTGTGACAATAAATGAACCATGGATAACTTATGAAAATAATAAAATATTCTTTATGTACGATACACCTCACCTTTTAAAATCGGTTAGAAATAATTTTAAAAAGTATGATTTTAAACATCAAAACGAAATATACTCATGGACAGATATTGTAGCTTTTTATAATCTTGATAAAGACAAAGTGCCAAGACTAGCCCCAAAGCTTAAAGAAATACACATAAAGTTACCGCCATTTTCACCAATGCGTGTATGTTTAGCAGCACAGACTTTTAGTCACACTGTAAGTTCTGCAATCTTAACACTTGTATCAAATAATCAACTTTGTTCAAAAGCAGTCTATACTGCAAAATTTATCAAGCTTTTAGATGATTTATTTGATGTGTTCAACAGCGCCTCATTTGACGAATGCAAAAAATTTCGCAAACCATTATCTGAAAATACAATCCATTGGAAATTATTAAATGAAGCACTACAGTTTTTTAATGAATTAGAAATAAAAAATACAATGAATAAGCAACCTCCGTGTATCACAGGATGGATTGCAAATATAATATGCTTAAAAAATTTATATCAAGATTTACATGAAAATTTTAATTTTGAGTACCTTTTGGTAAGACGCCTAACTCAAGATTGCCTTGAAAGTTTGTTTTCGTGCAAAAGGAGGTAATAACATCACACCAGACTCCTCCAAGTTTCATTCTGCAATACGAATGTGCATTGCTCAACAACTTCTTATGCCTCCTGTTAATGGAAATTGTGAGGTTGATGAATGTGCATTTTTAATTAGCTGTGCTGATTTACTAAAAAATAAACAAAAGTTTAAATTTGAATTGCAACAAAAAGAAGCAAATATTTCTTCACTTGATGATGTATATTCCAGGTTTGATGATAATTTAAGTGACATGAACATAAAATGCATACAGTTGGGTATTCATGAAGAAAATGCTATAGCTTACATAGCTGGTTGGGCTTGTTCAAAATTAAGCCATTCAAACTGTATAAATGAATTAGCTACAAAGGATAAAAACCAATCAATGACAATGAAAAACAATTTTATAACTATGAAAGAATATGAAGAATGTAACTTACTTTTACCATTACCGGGCACATTGCAATTTGTTGAAAAAATAGTTTCTCTCTTCAATAATAATATAGAACATTTATTGATAGACAACAAACGTTGTATAAAGAGTAGAATGTTGGCTAAAATTAATTGTTACATAAAAATATGTCCAAACATTTGTCAAGATTGTAGATTTTTGTTTATTGATAACATTTTTAATGTAACTATCAATTCTTATATAAAAAAATGTAGTAATACACCAACTTATAAACAAGTGAAAAGTAAAAAATAAAAAAAAATAATGCATTTATAATAATTGTATGAAAATAATGTCACTATGTATTATACTATTATGAATATTTTTCATAATAACTTTAAAATATAATAATATGTATTATGTTTTTGTTATTTGATATCTTTACAGTTTAATTATATCCAATTGCTGATTCACTGATTGTTTTAAAATTTGTACATTGTCATAAATTAATAATAATAAATATAAATAAAATAATATATTACACCACAGCTGTAATCGATTTTTGTTATATAATTTAAAATTCAAAATATTTTTAATATCATTAATTGCTTATCATATTTTTCTGGTATATAGCTGAATATTGCAAACTACAATACTAAAGCGCGTTGGTTACATTCTTGGGGGGCATACTTTTGTCGCGATTTTTGACACTAGTTGTCCCGTATTGTCATATATAGTATTTGCTGCCCCTTATATGCCAGTATACCGCCAACGCTTGGCACAACTACGACCAATACTGGCTGGCCAAAGCTTGCATTTACAACTGGCCTGTAGTACGCCAGTAAACCGCCAACGTTTGGCACACCGATGACTAATTCTGGCTTGCCCACGCTCGCAATTACAACAGACTGGCCTGTAGTACGCCAGTATACCGCCAACGATTGGCACAACTACGACCAATACTGGCTGGCCAAAGCTCTCATTTACAACTGGCCTGTAGTACGCCAGTAAACCGCCAACGTTTGGCACACCGATGACTAATTCTGGCTTGCCCACGCTCGCAATTACAACAGACTGGCCTGTAGTACGCCAGTATACCGCCAACGATTGGCACAACTACGACTAATACTGACTGGCCCACGCTCGTGATTCATTCGCTGCCCGTTATATGCCAGTTGTGAATCAACACTGGCTGCCAGTACTAGTTTTCCAGTACTATTGTAGTACTGGATAACATTTTGGCCAGTACTTTACCCGTAAGGACCAGCCAACTGTTGGGAAGCCAGTACAGTCGCAGTACTGCGCCCTTTGTAAGTGTCAGCGTAAGTCATACATTTCCGATTGGGCGTATTCTAACCTGTTTAAAACGATTATGCAATAATAATTTATCGCCCGATTTGCTATGCAACACCTCCCCAAGTGGGTCACAGGATTAAGAAAATTGCATTTTTATTGCACCGAGTCACCGAGCGGGGTCACTCGTTCGCTACGCTCACTCGGACAGTTAAAAACGAAAATATCCCCCGATTTGCTGACAAAACCACCATGGGTAGGCCTCGGAATTAAACAAAGTTGTTAAAAAGCAATTATCTTCGCAGGTAGATGACCGACTAATGGTTTCCTATTAACCTATATTCTATATTTAAACTTACTATACGGGTGACCTAAACTTTATCTCTATTCCAGCCGGCTTCGCAAACATTGTATTATATTATTTTTGTTATTCTAATATTATATAAGTACCTATATAGCATATTATAATATCATTAATTACTTTAAGGCTATTTAATGATCAAATTATAAATAAGTAAACTAGTCTTTATCAAATATAATGACATATTTTTATATTTAATATAATTAAACCACCGAACGCAACATTTGTTAATGAAATAAAGGTCGTTTCAATTTTATAAATTATTTAGTACTGTAATATTGTTGTGGTTGTTTTAAGCGTTACAACAGTGGTTTACTGGTTTATACATAAAATGAGTGAATTAAATTTATTACAAATATTTAAATTGTTTAACTGTAATACAACTGGCGTACTCAATGAAGATGTTCTGACATTACTTCAAAATTGGAATTTAATTCCTAAAGAAGGAGTTTACTTATGTCCAAGAGGGCATAAATTGAAGCTGAGTCCCAGAAATTCGACCATAGATGGATGGATATAATTGGAAGTAAATTATAATATACCAATCATTGTATTACTCATATATCACAATCGAATTACCACTAATAAAGCGTAATAACTAACCCGCTGTTTTCAAGAATAATAATTAATAATTCAATTTAAATTTTATACAGATGCCATGCATTATATTCTGAACAAAAATCTAAGGCCAAAAAATGTGATTATGAGATATCCCTTAGAAAAGGCACATTTTCTATAAATCACATTTACCTGCATTCAAAATTATTTCGTTTTCTTACTTATGGCTCCAAAATGTTACACAGTCGTTCATAATAAAAGAACTGGATGTCAGTCGTGCTACAGCATGATGGGCTGGTTTTAAAAAGAACACCAATTGGAGAAGTAGGGTTAGAGGTGGAAATTGATGAGAGCAAATTCGGAAAAAGGAAGTATAACAGAGGTCATTTAGTAGTTGGTCAGTGGGTGTTTGGTGGTGTAGAAAGAGGATCAAATCGCTGCTTTTTAATTCCAGTAGAGCGTATAGATAAGGATACTTTACTCAAAATAATCGAGGAATGGATATTACCGGGGACAACAATCATATCAGACTGTTGGAAAGTAAGATTTCGAATAATTTTCAAGTAAATTAAATTTTAAATAACAAATTATTATTTAGGCTTATGATTGCTTGGAAAAGAAGGGGTATAAACACTTTAAGGTCAACCATTCCGTAAACTACAAGGATCCCGAAAGTGGCCAACACACAAACACCATTGAAGGCCTTTGGCGGCAAGCCAAATTTTCATTACCTCAATTCCATAGGAAAAAACAATTCATTAATGGATATTTAGCCAAGTTTATGTTCCAAAAAATGTGTAAAGCACAAAAATTGGATCCTTTGGTTGAATTTTTTTAAATGGCTGGATCCATCTATGATGCAACAAAAATTGATTCTGTGGAGATAGAGGAAACTGAGGAGTCAGACAGTGAAAATGAGTCACTCAGTGGAGATGATGATTGTGTGATATAATTTATAATAAGTATAAACTTAAAATTAGTATCAAATATATTTTACATTTTTACAGTATTTATTTATTATTTATTTTAATTGGGTTAATATACCTAGTCTAATTAGGTACTCAACTATAGTTTATATTTCACCTTAATAATGACGTGATTCATAATATTACTTACCCAAAACTGACTATGTCCCAAAACCAGGCGCGTCCCTGAGGGGGGGGGGCGAGGGGGCGAACGCCCCCCCCCCGTAAGACGTGTAATTATCTGTTTTTGTTTCATATAATATCCATAATTTTTAAGTAAAATAATGTCATGGAAGATTTAAAAGCACGGTTCTTGAATGAAAAAAAACAAAACTATTTTCATACTTATGCAACTGGTTCCAATTAATGTCATGAAGATCTCTCAGGATCTTGAAAATACTTTGGTTGAAACATTACTGAAACATTACTCATTTATAAGTTTCAATACATATTCTCTAAAGGGTGAGATGGAATTATGGAAAACAAAGTGGGAACAGAAAATTTGCAAAGGTATAATGATATATTTTTAGAATCAAAATTGAAAATGTAAAGTACATTTAATTAGATTGCTTTTATTTTAGGGTTACAAATTCCAAACAATGTATTCAATGCTATCGAAGAATGTCCTGATATTGTTTTCCCTTGTACCTATTAGAAAAATTCTCTTTATATTATGCACTCTTCCAAGTTCCAGTTAGTGTAGCAACTGCAGAACGCAGCTTCTCAACTCTTCGCAGGTATCAATTACACTTGTCAGTTATACTAAATTATATATACTTTTTTTAAACACACAATTTTTATTTTTATTAAGTATTTAATATATTCACATATATTTCTACTTATGCTTAAAAATACTAATAGCTTAACTTCTCTTTCATTACTATACTTTCATATTGATTGCAGTAAATCAATCTTCACTAATGAATGCATTTAATTTACAAACTTAAATATTATTTTTTGCCTATTACTTCTGCTTATGCTTTTGCTTATTATTGCTTTGGTGTATTGTTTATTAGATTAAAAAGTTGGTTAAGAAGCCGAATGAATGAGGAGAGACTGACTGGATTAGCGCTTTTAAATATTCATAGGAATGAACCGATCAATATAGACAGCATTATTGATCGTTTTGCTGCTTCCAATAAACGAGCTTTGGAGTTTGTTATATAACTTACTCATATATGAATTATTATTATTTACCTATTTTATAATTGTATAATATGTACCTACCTAAAGTAAAAGAATAAATGTATCTGTTTGTACGATATTACACCTAACATATGGGTTTAAGTCTTTTGTTTATCAAAGTAGTGTTTTAGAGTATAATTTTTTCGCCCCCCCCCCCATGGAATTGACCTGAAGACGCCCCTGCCCAGAACTTGTTAAAATACGTGAAAAAAAAAATTGTTATAATCGCTGCGCGTGGCAGTCAAGTAGCGTTGCGCGCATGCGCATAAACGTAAAATCGTAAACTTTGGAAGGCTATAACTTCTAAAATAATAGTTTCCGGGGGAAAAAAATTACACCATCGTTTTAAGCATAAAAACAAGTCTTTTGAAAAAAAAAATTGAAAATCGTGAGGGGGTTGGTAAAGTAGACTTTAGCCAGACAAATATATCCTAGTATATTCTAAACAGATCGTTAATTATATTGCTAGGATATTTTAATCCCCCTGTCAAATAATTTAACGTGTGTGGGGGGGGGGGGGGTAAAAATCGCCTGTTACACTCAGTGATGTAGTTGTAATTTTTTTACTGAGTATACGCTTTAATGTGCTTGATATGTAAACATGGTGATTAGGTTAGCCCCCCACACCACCCATATATACTACGTTATTATTAATTTTATATTTATAATTACATTCACTTTATTACTACCTTACCACAATTGTGCCTCTATAGCTTACAATCAGAAATCATACTCCTAAAATATATATTATTATACATTTAAATTTTTTATGATTACCTACGTTAATTTCTTACAGCCCCCCCCCCTCACCACTATTCTTTTTAAGTTAAAAAACCTAAATATTTATTAAGATTTCAAGTCTTAAAAGTATACTTAATACTTAATAGTATATAAATTAGGTATCACCACTGAGTAAATAAAAATAAATGAAAACATAATTTTTTGTATATCAATTGTTATATTTATATTTTAAATTTGAATGTATTTAAATCTGTACTAATTACAAAATGTTCCATAGAGAATCCTTTTTCTCCAGGTTTCTCAAGGGCAACTTTTGTTGATCTATTATTATCTGCAGACCTATCTTTGAATAGCCATGATTTAACATAATCTGTTGGATTCTACTAAGAAAGCCGTGGTCCATTAACATTTATAAACATAAGGTTAGAAGTATTCTGTATTGTTAACCTAGATCTGAGATCAGAACATATAAAATTCATAAGATTATAACCTCTCTCACACTCAGCAGTAGATACTGGTAAAGTTTTTATAAGCACATCTAATTCTTTTAATTTTTAATTTATCACAATGGTATTGTTATCAACAAATTTTCTCATGCCCCGAATAGCATTATCTGTATTAATCAAAAACTGTTGAGTCAAATATTTTACTTAATATTTTATATCACATATTATTTTTGAATCTTCATTATTATATTCAAGTAAACTCATTTGAAGATTATTACAAACACTACTTAAAAATTGATTTTGGTTGATTGGTCTTAGATTTTGGTTATCAAATAATGTTATGTTTTTAAAAACCATATTTGTTTTTGCTTTTTTGGCTTCAGATGTATACTCTCCGTCCTTTGTTTTGAATGATTCTATAACTCGTATAGTTCTTTTGATAATTTGATCAGCAAACACCATTGTTGCTTTATGACTGTGTAATTCTTTAGACAAGTTTGATAGCTCCATAGGACATCACACATCAATGCTAAATTCAATACTTTCTAAATGTTTACATAGTCCTAAATACTTGGACCTTGTTTTTGTATCTCTAGAATCATCTTTTGAAGCTGTACTTAAATGTTTACATAAAGCCGGATAAATTTTCCAAATAACTTGGACTGCTCTTGGAAACAACTGGCAACCCAGCGACCAGTTAATACTCGATTTTAAAAACAAAACATCTAATTCTGCACATTCCTTTTTCAATTCATTTTGATTCTTGGGAAATCTGTTGTACAATGCATATAAGCTATCTAAAAATGCTTTAAAATGATTTGTTAATGTGATATCATTGACAGAATCATTAACAGCTAATTCTCGTCTATGATTTAGACAATGCCAATGAGAGGGTAAATATCCATTTTTTTTCCCAAGCAATACGCTAGCACCATCATTAACAAAAAAAATCCAATTTCCTCTTAGAAAATTGTCATTAAATCCACATGCATGAAGACATTTCATTAATTGATTTACAATGTTTTCTGCATTCTGAGTAAAAAGTTCAATAAGATCCAAAAATATAAATATAGGTCCTTCATTAAAAATAGATGTTTTTATGTAAGCTATCATACTAGTTGCTGAACTAATGTTATAAATATACAAAATGTATCCCTATTTGATAACCGTGTGAAGCGAGTTCTGTGGTTTTATTATGTAAGATAGTTTGTGTCAGCCTGCTGGTATCAGCTATAGTGGAGTAAGCATAGAATAGCTGTGTTAAGAAAACCTGAATAGTACATATTTTATTTTTATATATCCATATATGTTGATAACATATATAGAAATATTTCATTACAATCATAATATAGAGTGTGTGTCGTACGACGCTGCTACCGTGGGAACCGCTGAATAAGGGTTTTTTATGTGAGACGGGGCACCGTGACAACAACACACAGGAAGTCAGTCAGTCGTAGAATTACCAGTGTTCGATTAACAGTTTGTAGCTATACTTAAGATCTTTACTACCGATTTCAATAAAAAATACATTAACCCGTCGTACGGCGCACGGATTTAGATGTCTCATTTACGCGCATGGGGTAAAAATGTACCCCTCAAAGATAGCTAGTTATTATTTTATGGTTAGTATATAATTATTTTCGGTAATAGTAACTTTTTGTTATGAAAACATTTTATTTTACATTTCTCAGTATATAAAATATGTTGGCGGTATACAAAGAGATTTTACATTATACAGAGTGATTATAAAAACATTTTCCTTTTTTTTTTTTAAGAATATTTCGTATAATTTATAAGTATTATAATTTTCGTATAATAGCTGTCGTCATAGGTAATTACATAATAATAATATTTACAATTTAGAAGGTCACATAAATAAATAACATTAGACACTAGCGTAACAGTCTGGACACACGCTAATTAGGTGGTCCCGACATATAAGTCTTATACACGTTGTACAGACTTTTGTTGTTTTTCTGTCTTTTTATCTTTCACAGAATGAACATCTGCCACATTGGTTGAACATTGAAATATTTTCTTATTGACGACTTAACTTCAATCCGGACAGCGGGAATAGTAATACGATTCTGCACGTGTTCTGCACGTGATCTGCTCGTGTTCTCTTCCCGGTGTCTTTAGAAATTAAAGACGTGATATTTTATTTTTTGTGTTGGCTTCATAAATAGTTTGCGAATTTATTCCACCAATATTCATCAACGGATAAAAAATTGTCAATGGCCAACGTACACTTGTCCTGGCAACGGTGTAGTTTTCTGTCATATAGTCCATTGTATCAACTCCACTTTTGGTTCTATTATAGTCCATAATTATTTCTGGTTTTAGTTTTTCTTTATTCACTTGAGCTATTTGTTTGTCGTGGTGCATTGTAGAAATCAATATCACAATTTTATTTTTATTGGCCTTATATGATACTAAAGTTTTGTTATTTGAAAAACCCAAATAAGAACTATAAACCGATCTGTTTTTTGAAGATGCAAACGAAGGAGGGACTTCTCTTTTGTTTTTTCGAGTTGTGCCAATTATAGTCACTTTTTTTTCAGTAAATCGTCTGCTAAGGGAATGCTTGTAAACCAGTTGTCCATAGTGACATTTCGGCCAGAATTGTAAATTATATTTACCATACGTTTAGTAATACTCGCCGCAGAATTATCTACTGAGTACGGACCGGCAGGTTGTGTTCCTACGTATACTTCTAGATTGGACGTATAACAGTTCACACTATCGCTTAGCGCAAATAATTTTATGCCGTATTTGGCCGGTTTATCAGGCATATATTGCCTAAAGGGGCAACGACCCCTTAATGATTGCAACTTTTCATCTAAAGTAACATATTCAGATAATGCGTACGATTTCTTACAGTTCATAGTAAAATCATCAAATACTTTTCTTATATGTGTCATTTTATCTAATTTTTTCCGTTCTTCTCGTCAACGTATGTCGTCGAATCTGATACAACGCAATAAAAACAAGAAACGTTTTTCAGACATAGCACACCATAGGCGTGCACACGGGGGGTGCAGGGTATGCAACTGCACCCCCAGCGAGTTAATTTTAGAAATAGATTGATAGATAAATAATATTTTTTAAGTTTATAATTTTTTTCAAGCCCGCGGTCACACGTGAGTGCAGCAGTGAGTGCAGCAGCAGGCTGGTATGTACGATACACGGTTAAAATCGTTTTCTGTTATCGCGGCTCGATTGTCGATAGTTAGGTATCGTGTCCAAACAAGTGGCTAGGTATACCAAAAGTTATTTATAACTTCTGAATTGCTTTTATTAATTATGATAACTGATAATAAAACACATTAGTAACTGTTGTTGTTTACAGTAAGAAATAAGAATCCCTGGCAGCGTAGTCGTAGTGCAAAATAATTATTTTATGGTGGGTAATGTACTCGCGAGTTTGATTAATTTATACATTTTATTGATTTAATATATTAATTATAAAGAAGTTTAGTAGGTAAACAGTATATTTAAGTATTTAACTATAGTTACGTGATATAAAATTTAAAATGTCACGAAAAATAAAGTCAACAACCTTGTATAACTTTTTTAAGCCTTCATCACCAAAACAAATAAAAACTGAATTATAATTTATAAAATTATTGACTTCTAAGAGAAATTAAATTATTAAAAAAATAATTATTAATTTTTTTTTTTTTTTATTTATCCTGGCCCGACTTGTTACATGGCTAGGTAGCATACTAAAATTTTCAATTTGTACTGTGCACCCTCAGCAAAAATGTCCTGCGCACGCCTATGTAGCACACTTGAGTATGTCAATATTACAGCCGTCCGATGACCACATATCTTTTGTACTTCTGTGACCATTTTTCAAAGCACCAATTATATATAACACACCAAAAAGAGCTTTCATTTCTTGGGCTGTCGTAAATCTTGCATCCCTCTCTCTACCAAATTTTGACCGAATATTTTCAATTATAGGTATTGTAAGTAAAAAATAAATTCCATGCATCTAATATGCAATTAGCATTTTTTGCATCACCTATAACACCCGGTTTTTCCACCACAATATTTACTTTAGAAGTTCTTACTCTTTGGTTTGGCGGCCTTCGTGCCCACTTAGTTCCATCTTTTCCAATAAAATACTTATTTCGTAGAGTCAAAGGCAGGATTCATGATAAGAAATATCAGAACACGAATTTTGTAATTCTGTGTCACTGTCATCCGAACTAGATTGTTCAGTGTCAGTATTATCTGAACATTTATTTTCGTCATTCTTATTTTCATCGAGATCCAAATCGTCTTTAGAATTACCGCCCCATATCTCATCTTCAAATTCATCAAGCAAATTTTCAATTTGGTGTTCGTCCACATTTAAAAAACAAAATAAAATAATACGTCCACACTACACAATAATAAAATAATACGTCCGCACTACACAACAATAAGAATGAAACTAATACGCTTATCGGTCGCACGGGGCAAATAATTTCCAGATACGGGCGATAACGACTTTATAACGCTCTAGATAATACATAACGTACATAAACAAGATAAAACCAGTAAATGTCTACTTTTAGATGCAATATTTGAGGCTATTGAGGTGATCAAATATCCACATACCGTATTATATATTTTATAAATATTTTTAAAATGTCTGGGGTAATTATTTACCTCGTGCGCCGTACGACGGGTTAATTATTTTAATCTTCAATTGGTGCGTACGTTTTATTTTGTGTTGTGTGTAAAATCCATAACAGCTGACAATATATTAGAACCTGTAGAAAAATAACTAATAATGTGTTATTTTGTATGAATATTGAATAGTGTTTAATTTTTGAATTAGGTACATGTATTAAAAATAATTCCTTTTAGCTCTCCAAATAGTAGTTAAATGGCTTCTGTTGGCCTCTAGTTGCTACTTGTTTTAGTTGCTTATATTCTTTTATTAAAATCCTCCTAATACATTAAACTGCTAGCTATTTGAAAATTGCAATATAAATTAGTTAATATGAGTAATTTTTTATTAGGATTATAAAAGGGACGGAGATCATATTAATATACCTACTTAAATAATTACAACGGCATGGTTATTGTTTAGATATTAATGTTTAAGTTGGCCTGCCTAAAATCTTGCACACCCGGAAAAAAAAACTGAAATGACGCCCCTGGTCTGATGTAGAGTTGAAACAAACCAAAAGTTTAGACATTATTCCTGAGGATTCCATTTCTAGTACTTCAGGAGTGATGGCTGATTCTTTTGACATAAATAGTGAGTTTCTATCGTCAATCAATCACAATTCCGTTGTTATCCTTGTGATGATTTTCCTAAAGACTTCTTGATTAACCTATTCTTAACATGTATGTACATTTCACCAATTACAACCCCCCCCCCCCCCCCTCAACATTTTTTTTTTTATCATACAAGCAATATAAGGCAATAAGACCTCTCAATACAAGTATACAACCATTATGATCTGTATGTAATATTGTATACACTATAAATTAAAATAAATAATAACATAATATTTATATATTCACATTTAGGTACTTTTTCATAATATTATACTTTCTGTGGTAGAAATTTAATTTAAGCATAATGCTCTACTTTTTTGCTCCACAGAATCAATTAAATGGTCTTGCAATGTTGGCTGTTCATAAAAATGTCAAAATCGACTCTGAAGAAGTGCTTAATGATTAGCATTAAGACCACGTAAAGTGGATCTTTTATTGTGATTTGTGATGTAACTGTATCTAGTATCTGTTATGTCTTTTAGGATGCAGTTGGGTTAAGGTCGTTAAAGAATATAGATACACAAGTACATTTTAACTTTTTATTGAAACACATGCGACATGCTTACGACTTATAGTGACAAGACAACATACATCGTAACCTAACAATATAGATTTTCAGTGAAACAGTGTTGCCACATAACATTACCCCTTTTTTTTTTTGATACAGAACAAGATCCAAATTTACAAATTAAGAAGTAGGTATAAAGATAATAAATATAAACTACTATTCACTATAACATGATAAATAATAGTAGTAACTTTTTACTCAGTCTTGAGCATAACAAGGTGATGTAGAATAACTTTACTTATAACAAATTAACTAATTACCTTTTTTAAAACAATTAAACATAATTACTTATGCTTATTACAATATTTTTTTTTTTTTTTTTTACATTTTACAACATTTCACAAAATTAATTAATGCCTAAGGTTGATACCTATCAGGTGCCTTACGCTCTCTCTCTGGATATCGGCGTGTTGTCAACTTTGTACCCAATGTATCATTAATGTTTGTTGTATTATTGGAATGTGAGCCCAAGTTACTGAAACTAAGATCTTCACAAACCGATAAAGACTTAGGTGAATGGAGATGATTAGCTAAATAACTCTTTCTCATTTGATTAAGATGCACTTTCCTTATTTTTTCATTAACTTTAACCAAATAAACTACTGACCCAATTTTTTTTGTTACTCTACCCAACTCCCAAGTATAACCCTTTTTATTAATGAAGTTCTTCTTAATCAAGACTTTGTCATCAATACTAAATTCCCTGGTGACAGGTGTATTTAAATCTAACTGCACTTTACTCTTGGGAATTAACCAAGATAACTGGGTCCTAGTTCTAAATTTAAACATAAGTTCTGCTGGAGCAACCTGTGTAGTTGTACAAGGTGTATTACGGTAATTAGATAGGCACCCTAATAATTTATCCTTCATTACTTCTTTCCCCGGTGGACACCCAGCCACAACATTCTTTAATAAGTATTTTTTTATGGTCTGAACACCTCTTTCAGCTAACCCATTAGAGGTTGGGTTATAAGGAGGTGAATTCATATATTTTATATTATTTTTAAGTAAAAACTGTTTAAAGTTTTCACTGTTAAATGGAGGCTCCTTATCAGCTAATACTATTGCTGGCAACCCAAAACAAGCAAAACAAGATTTTAGTTTATCCACTACAGACTTAGTGTCAGTACTCTGCATCAGCCATACCTCAATCCACTTGGAATAGTCATCAATTAAAATTAAAAACTTGCACTGCTGGGCATCAAATAAATCTAAATGTAAGCGCATCCAAGTTTGTGAGGTTTCTGGCAAAGGAGCATATATTTTTTTAATTTTATCATACTGATTCACTTGACATGGCATACATGATTGTACATACTTTAAAATATCAACCTCTATAGTAGGCCACCAAACATATGAACGAGCCAACAATTTACAACGCACTATTCCAGGATGACCCTTATGCAGTATATCTAAGACTTGTACTTGCAAACGTTTTGGAATGACAACACGATTACCAAACAAGATACAACCAGATTCAAGCGACAACTTAAGACGGTTTTTATAAAATGGTTTTAACTCATCATTCAGCTGTGAAAAATGTGGCCAACCATTATTTAAACAACCAACCACTTTTACTAGTATATCATCCAAGCAGGTTTCTTGTTCAATATTCTTAAACGTTAGTAACTTTTCTTCAAACGATGCTACCACCGACACCAAGCAACATTCATTATCAACTGATTCCTTAGACTCTAAAGGTAAACGTGAAAGACCATCAGCATTAGAATTGCATTCTCCTTTTTTAAAAACTATTTCATAATTGTAAGCAGCTAATATAATAGCCCAACGTTGCAGACGTGCAGCAGATAACTGTGGAATACTTTTAGACGGATTAAATATTTGTTTTAATGGCTCATGATCTGTCACTAACTTAAACGGACGGCCATAAATAAACTTATGAAATTTGCGGACACCAAAGATAATAGCTAACGCTTATCCAACTGACTATAACGCTTCTCAGTCTCAGATAAAGTGGTGCTTGCAAACATAATAGGATGTTCCCTATCATCTATGATATGGCTTAAGACTGCACCAATATTATAAGAACTACTATCTGTTGCTACAACCAAAGGTAAATTACTATTGTATAACACCAGACAAGACTTTTCAGCTATTAAATCTTTTGTCTTGATAAATGCTCTTTCACATTTTGAAGACCAATTCCACTCAGACTTTTTACGAGTAAGGCTTAATAACGGTTCCATTACATCAGATAGTGAGGATAACGACAAAAATGTATGATAATAATTTAATAGACCTAAATAAGATTTGAGTTGAGTCACATTTACTGGAACAGGTGCATTTTTAATAGCATCCACTTTCTCTGGATTAGGATACAAACCACTACCATTCAACCGATAACCAAGATAATCGATGGACTCTTTAAAAAAATGACACTTTTCTGTATTAATTTTAATATTATACTTTTCAAACCGACTTAAAACGCTTCCTAAGTGCCTTTTACATTCATCTAAATTTGCACCTCCAACCACCACATCATCTAAGTAAGCTGCAACTCGTGGAATACCTCTGACAACAGAATCCATAACTGACTGAAAAATTGGTGGTGCTGATTTTAACCCAAAACACAATCTATTGAAGCAATACAAACCAACATGAGTATTGACAGTCAATAAATGTTTACATGAATCAGCTACACTTAATTGTAAATATGCATTAGTAAGATCCAACACACAAAAATATTTACAACCTGATAGTGAATTAAAAATATCATCAATTTTAGGAAGGGGGTAATAGTCCATTTCTACATACCTATTTACTGTGACTTTCAAATCGACACATAACCGGATTTTACCATTCTTACGTGGAACACACACAATTGGAGATGCCCATTGACTATGTGACACTTTTGTGATGATACCTTGGCTTTCTAAAGCGTTCAACTCTTTAATCACCTGATCTCTAATCGCATAGGGAACATCATACGCTCTAAGGAACACTGGTACCACATTTTCTTTTAGCACAATAGTAGCCTCAAACACCTTTATTGGCTCCACATTATTAGAAAATACTTTAGGATATTTAACTTTAAACTTTTCCACTGACCTATCATTCACCACCAAAACTTCCACTTGTTTAGTACACACAATCTGACTCCTCCACAGTGGATTAACTATGTCTAACCAATCTCTACCTAACAGCGGTTTTTTTAGACTATTATCAGTAATGACTAAGGGTAGGTTATTATAATAATGATCCTTTATACTAATATTAACTATAATTTTACCCATGGTTTTCATAGACTTCCAATTTGCAGTGATCAACCTAACTTCACTTGGCTGAAGTAAAAAACCCGACAACTCTGCATTATAGACATTCATTGGTAACAGAGTGACAGCTGCGCCTGAATCCACCTCAAAATCTAAAAATGTGATATCATTAATACAAACAGTTGTTTTAAGGGCATTACTAAAAACGTTATTAATTTCTACATTATTCACAGACTTTTTATTATTTCTACACATATGAGACGTGTGTCCCTTTTTTGAACAGTTGAAACAAACCCAATCCTTGGCTGGACACTCTGACTTTGAATGAGATTTTCGACCACACCGACCACAAGCATTTCCATGACTGGAGTTTCGCTCACCAACATACTTCTTTTTTTGAATAGCTTTTGACGATACATCTTCGTGTTTGTGAGATTGTAATTTGGATGACTGATTTTTGAACTTTTGACGAATAGACAAGGTCTCTGCCTCAACACGCTCATGCATGACGGCTGTATTTTTCCTTACAGTATCCATATCCATTACAGTTTTGCACGCAGAATCGAATGATAGTGCACTAGGTTCAGCTAATAGTTTACGTACCATTATGTCATCACTTAAACTGGCAACCAACCGATCTCTTAAAGCTTGATCCAAAAATGCATCAAACTTACAGCTCGAGGCAAGACGACGCAATTCGATGATAAAATCGTTGACTGATTCACCTTCTTTCTGCTTCCTCGAGTTAAACTTGTATCGTTCTGAAATTACTAGCTGTTTTGGACAATAGTAATCTTTTAATTTTGAGATGACTGTTTCAAATTTTTGAGTTTTAATTTCACCAGGCAACATTAAGTTTTTTAATACGGCGTACATTTCTGGACCGATAAGCACAATAAGTGAAGACACCTTATCGTTATCCGAAGCCGCACCATTCACAAAAAAAAAGCTTCCATTCTTTCCAGAAAATTTTCGAATGGTTCACTATTGTCATATGGACTAATAGCACCAAAACTTGTTTTGGTTATTAACACAGTTTTATTACCTGTAGGCTGACTTGACTGTTCACCTGCACCCATTTTTTTTTTTTTAACTTCGACCGCACACTCTTGACCGGTTCGCACAAGACATATGAATTATAAGCACAAAACAAACACGCATTCGTCGCCAAATGTTATGTCTTTTAGGATGCAGTTGGGTTAAGGTCGCTAAAGAATATAAATACACAAGTACATTTTAACTTTTTATTGAAACACATGCGACATGCTTACGACTTATAGTGACAAGACAACATACATCGTAACCTAACAATATAGATTTTCAGTGAAACAGTGTTGCCACATAACAGTATCTAGGACCTAGGTATCAATGTACTTAATATTTAAATGTACCTAATTGTGAATATCTAAATATTATGTTATTATTTATTTTAATCAAAACATTAAGTACATTGATACCTAGGTCCTAGATACTAGATACAGTTACATCACAAATCACAATAAAAGATCCACTTTACGTGGTCTTAATGCTAATCATTAAGCACTTCTTCAGGGTCGATTTTGACATTTTTATGAACAGCCAACATAGCAAGACCATTAATTGATCTGTGGAGCAAAAAAGTAAAGCATTATACTTAAATTAAATTTCTACAACAGAAAGTGTAATATTATGAAAAATATTGAATATATTTGAATTTTGAGATTCGGGTGATTTTTGTATTATCCATAAAATATACATTAATGATATTAGTATATAAATGTGTTTGACGATTAAAAAAAAAAAATAAATAGCGGTCATGGGGGGATAAGATACCCAAACCCCACCCCCCGTAATTACGCCACTGCAAATAATGTGTAAAAATTATTAGTGATTTCAATATTTTTAGCCAAATACTTTTCACTAAGCAGTGCTTTTAAGGACTTAACTATGATCTTGTGTAAGTTAACAATATTGATGTGTTCTTTTATTATAGCAAGTCGTTAAAGATTGTTATAATGAAATTGATGAGTTCTTTTATTATAATGATTCGGTTTTAATGTAATATATTATTTTTCATATTCCTCTCTTAATTTTGATTTTATTTTCATTGAATAAATAAAATATATTCTTACTAAATTTCTAATGTGTGTGTTCTTTAAGCCTAGTATTTTATTCCAAATCCAATTACTTATTGTTACATTAGTCATTGAGGTATTTAAGTATTTTAATATATTTGCATTAAAGTTATTACTTACATTAAGTAATTTATTTTAAATTTTAAATTTTAATACATAAATATTAAATCTTGGTAAAATTAAGTATTTTACAAAATGGTACAAATAATATCGTTCTATTACAATATTGATAATATGTTACATTTAATTGATAACGTATACCACGCCCCCCTGGAGACCTTGTTCAAGGCCAAAATCGCCTGATTCGGCCAATTCGTGGTTACATACCCCTGATATTACTTAGCATAATATTTAAGTTTTGTATATTATGAAATATCATAATTTAGGAGGTTTTAATTAAAATAACTGTAATGTTTGGGTTAGGTACAACTACAAATGTATCAGCTAAACGTAAATATTCAGTGCCAAGCTCATCAAGTATTTTAAAAAACTTTAATTGGAAAAAAGAAGCAGTTGAACCATGCGAATCAAATTTTGAGGATCATATTGATAAGTTAGAGTTGGGTTAAAAAAATTTAAATATTTTCATAATTATATTATTTTATAATAAATATCATTATTACACTTAATATATTGTACCTAATATCCCTCCTAAATCCTCAGTTGATTCCTATAAGTTTTTTGTATCGACCCTTGAAAATCCTTATAATGACCTACCCTGACTGCATGTTTATCATACCTGTTGATTTTAATCTTTCTGGTATTGATTGGTCAATTGACGAAAACGGTGTAACTTACTTGACTTTAACCAGGTGCCATGCTTGCTGTATCCCAGAAAGCTTTGTTTACCTGCATTTTTTCCAGTTAAATGAAGTTAAAAATCATTATGGTTCCGTTTTAGATTTAGTTTTTAGCAGCTTATGCAATATGATTATTGTGAGGTCTAATGAGTATGTTGTACCTGAAGATCGTTACCATCCAACTTGGTTTTTGTTTCTGTATTGGCCCCTGTTCTGAATAATTCTGAGTTAACTCATCTCATCTTTGATTTTAATAGAGCCTTTTACGGAAAAAAAATGACCATTGCCTTACAATTGGTTTAATACAATCAACTCTTTAAATGTTAATGAAGCTACTAATACCTTATATGATGCTCTTTATTTTTGTATTATTCATTTTGTGCCTCACGTTGAGTTCAAGAAGTCTAAGTTTCCCATGAGGTTCTCTAATGACCTTAAAAGCTTGACCATTCAAAAAAGAAAAGCCCATGCTGCTTACAGAGTCTCGATGTCCTCCCTTGACTACTCCACTTTTTCTAACCTTCGAGCCCGGTACAAGTTCCATACAAAGACATTTTATGATAACTACATTAAACAAGTTGAAAAATCTTTTTGAACCAATCCCAAATCTTTTCGGGATTTTGTTTGGAAAAATAAAAAAGGTTCCAACTTGCTAACCGCTGTCAATTTGAATATTATTTGCAGTACCGATAGAAATACTATGTGCGAGCTTTACTCTAAACATTTTAGTTCCGTTTTTCCCCACAAAGCTTAAATGTTGATTCCTGTGGTTCAGGTGGATTACCATATTACCTTCCTTCTTCGTGTAATATTAGTCTAACCCAGTGTTTCCCAACCTTTTTTTACTCGATGCCCCTTTTAGATTTTAAAAATCTCACACCGCCCCCCCCCAATCAATTTTTTAAAATGATAAACGTTTTATTTTTTTATAAGCTATTTAATTTAAGAAAAAATATCATTTAACATTTTAACGCTACAATTTAGTTAATTTTAAATTTAAATACCTAGATAATAATAATTAATAATTATATAATTTGATTTGGAATTCGCTAATATAAAATTATAACACAAAAAATACTTATGTGACTAATGACTGCCCTGAGATTGATGTTTTCCTGCTAACGAAATGATATCTAGCTCAATAGATGTCAGCATTAGTCTTAAATCTCCTCTTTCACATATTTCTAATTTATTTCTTGATTTGGTCAAAAGTTGTTGAACCGCACTAAAGCCTTTTTCGACCAGGCATGTCGACGGAAAAGCCATAATTAGTAATTCCACTTCTTTCCAAAGTTGAGGGAACCTTATTTTTTGTTTGAGACAAAACAATTGGTATCCATTATGTTTAAAAACGATTTTAGCTTCTTCATTGTGCTTCACATCGAGTAGTTCTTGAATTAATGGTTGGATATTTTGTATATCTGCTAAAGGATTCAATACCCATTCTGTTATAATCAGGTCGTTGATATCCTTAAATCTAGTACTCATATTATCTTTAAAGGATTCAAGGTGTGCACAGTATATTTCTAAGTCCCCTTTAGAGTCCCCCTCATAAAAACGCCCCCTTCAAAATAAAAGATGCATACAAGGGGGCGGTAGCGCCCACGTTGGGAATCACTGGTCTAACCTATATCGAGTCAAGCCTAGACAACCTACGTCTTACTAAAGGAGCGTGAACACTAGATCCGTTACATTACGTTCCTTCACTTTACGGTATGGATACAGTCGGAGACGTGACGTGACGGAACGGTAAAAATGCGCACACTAGATGCGTCTCTTTCCGTCTTGTCCTACCTGGGGAATCATTACTCCACGTTTGAACTTAGCGGTGTGTGTTTCATCGTGTTTTAAAGTTAATTTTGTTATTTTAGTTTATTGTAATTTCACCATTGACTTTTCTTCCGGCGAGGAACTCCTTGTAATAGCGAGTATCGCAGATGAGGAAGAGAAAAGAGAAAAAAAACGTTTATGGGTTCACAACATAAATTTAAAAAGTGATGAGAGCGGAAAATTCCATACGTTATTTCCAGACCTTCTTCAGGATGAAGCCAAATTTTTTAAATATTTCCGGTTGAGTTTGCAAAATTTTTTTGAACTGCTTAACATTCTACCGCAACTACAAAAGTAAGATACGAATTTTAGACGTTGTATTCCTCTGGATGAAAGATTAGCAATCACCCTAAAGTAAGTAAACATAGTTTCAATTTATTAAACAAAAGCAATTATTAATAGTATAACTATTTATTAATTATTGTTAAGCACTATTATATATTAAGATTACTATACATTATTTTTTGTCATATAAGCTGCAAAGAATTTATTTATTTTAAAAATTTTAAAACATAATTAAAATATTTAGTGGAATTATTAGAAAACATTAAAACATGTATTCAATTTAGAATTATAATAGTTATTTATTTTATATAAATATAGGTATAGTTATTTCAATTAATATAATAATGAGAAATTTTTAATTACGGAAAATACCTAAAAATAAATACCTAAAATAAGAAATTTATAATAGTCTAAAATGTCATATTTTAGAGGTTGTAGTAATTATTATCTAATTATTATCTTGTTAACTTCAAAAAACTCTTCATGGCCACTCCTAGGATTTTCTGTTATTGATGAGGCTGTTGAATAACCAGTCACATTTTCTTAGTTAATACGATTTCCATGATTGAAAAAATCAACTGGTCTGCCGGGAGAGGCAGTTAGCGTAATAGTTTCTTGATATTCATTGGTAGAGGTGCTTTGAAGTGGCGAAGCAATATTATTATTATTTTCATTAGAAAGATAAGCTTTCATCTCCAAATCAGAAAGTAACGCACTTATTTTTGCCTTTGCTTCAATTTGAAGAATTGGAGGCAGTCTAGTAGTGGTTGCTTGAATAGCAACAAAAAATGCCCCAATATGATCTCTAATTGGGTGATTGTAATTTGGGTTTTTTTGAAGCTAAGTA